TAGACCATTGCTTAGCATTCGGGAGGACGCCGGTTCGATTCCGGGTCCGTCTGCCTTGGTCCAAGTTTTTCTGTGGTTTCCTTGGATCACTTAGGCAAATGCTGGGGCAGTAATATTCAACAGATAATTTTTCATTCTCTTCTGTCTTCATTTCGTCCGTCTCAACTTTCTCACCCGAACCACCACCCACCCATTCCCACGATTACTGGCTGGGTATTTACAAAATCAAAATCATCCTTTTGTGTAAGTCATCAAATAAATAAGAAATTCACGAAAACTGTCTCGTTTTACAAATATGTATATTATGTTGTCAAATTTATTTTATCTTCCGTGCTTTCTAAAATTTCTCTTCGAACTTATTCATAGTGCAAAGCTCCTTATCGACAAACAAATGCGCTACTCTTCGCCCATCCACTGCGCTCCGGCTCTGTCCGTCTGTCGCGCTCCAGTGTGCGCTTACCTTAATTTGATTATTCCATTCTGGTTTTCTCTATAAAACCCTGTTTTTCGGGTTTTGTCTTCCGTTTCGAAGTCGTTGAGTACCAGGCGTGTTAAGGAGAGCGTTTTCAATTTTTCGTCGCTTGTACTTCTGAGATGTCACCTTGTTTGTAGACATGTAGATACAAATAAAATTCAGTCAATGTTTTTTGAGAAAGAATTTTTCATTGGGAAAATTACAGAATACAGTCATCTACTACGATAATGCCAGTAAAACTTTTTACTATTGCGTTCAATGAAAAGCTATACCTACCTACTAAAGCGGTTACACTTCAGTAGGAGCCACTTGTAACTCAATTCGAGTACTCCTAAATTACTTTGCCTTGGCGTCCAGCTGTTTCACCCCTCGTCCTGCCCGATTTGACCCTTTTCCTCCTTGTGAGCTACAGCGAATTACCGCCTGCCTCGCTAGAAACAGCACGGGAAAGTGCTCTTAAGTCTGAGGTATCTACTCGATTACTTCTGGGAAAAAAATCTGACAGTTTTATAAAATCGCAATTTAATTAAACGAAATGAAGCCCAGCGGTATATTCGAAAGTATTTGAACACGAAATGGACTCGAAGTAAGCGAGAAACAACAAATTAATGTTAGATGATATTTTTACTGGTGCAGCTAGTCACAAGGACATGTGTCATACTATTTCGAAGTAAAGCAAAAATCTGCTAAATATTATTTTTACTCGACGGTTTTCTAAAACTTGTGATGGCTTTTCTCAAAAAAGGAATTACTATACAAGCAAACTACAGAATCATCATCGTCATAAGATCGTCAGTCAGTCCTAAGACTGGTTGGACGCGCACCTCCACTCTTTCCTATCCTAAGCCAAACTTCGCATTTCTCTAAAACTAGAACATCCCACTTCCTTAACTACTTGCGAACAATAATCTAATCTAGGTCTACCTCTACTCCTCTTAATTCCTGTTTCTGCGTCTAATATGTCTCTGACCAAGCCTTCATGTCTGAGAAAATGTCCTACCAACCTATCTAGCCTATTTCGTATTGACTTCCATAGAGTCCTCTGTTTTCCTATTCATTCTTAACTACAGAATATAAACATTAAAAAGTTCGGGTCCGTTTGTTTGTTACCACTTCACGCCGTAACTATTTATCTGATCAACATGAAATTTTGCACACACATTTTCAGGGGTACAAAAAAGGACATAGGGTACTTTTTATCCAGAAAAAATATTGTTACCAAAGGACAGGAAATTTTCTTGTCATCTCGATAAAGAAGGACAGTATTTGTACTGTACGTTTAATTTATAAAATTAGAAATTCTAGTTTTAAACTCGTGATACTGGTCAGGACTATTTATTTAACAAGAATAAGAAGAATATCTGTTGAAAGTACCAAGTATTTATTCCCATTACAAGTACAAGTACATCTAGCTTGCGACAGATATTTTTTGCATTTCTGAGTTAATTACCTCAACATTTATTCGAAAATGAGTTAATTCGGAGCTTGCAATTATATTCTTCGACAACGGCGGCATTCTTTAATTTTACCCGCGTTTAAAATTAATTAACTCCTTTACGTCGTCGTAGCTTTATCTATTTTTCCTGTCTTCGACCTTGCTTGTATATTTTCCTTTCTGGTTGTCTAAAGGCTCGGCAATACGGTTAATGGGACGCCGATGACAAGAATATCTCGTCAGCTCAGGGTTTCTACCCAACAGGTACGAAAATGTATTTAATGTACATTAGACCCACCGCAGAAGAAAACTAAAATGATACATAAAATACTAACTTCACATTTTATGTAAATTGTTAAGGAACACGAGCCTTATTTGATGACGCATAGCGTGAAATTTTTGCTGTGTCCTTTAGTTTAGAATTTATAAATACTCTAAAA